TTTGCAAAGTGTTTCTCCTAATTCAATCCTAAAATTTGCCAGCCCAAGTGTTTTAGTATTTCCCTTCTGAGCATTAACTCTCCTATATAGAAGCCAAGCATTTACTATTGTCATGTCCAAAAGGTGATAAAAAAGTCTGAAATACCACTTTCTTGATTTGAGCTTGATACGGTATCAACCAATCAAACTATCCATAAGGTCTACTCCTCCCATATGTTTATTATATTCTTTTACAATCTTAGGGCAATCGATCTCCACTCTTTTATTTTGAGATTTATCGTATCTGTCAGCTCTGGATTTGGGAAGTGTTCCACAAAATGTAGACACAAGGGACACAATTGTATTGTTCTTCCATGCAATTGAAGAAATGGGTACTCCTTCCATCTCAGTAATATATTCCTTACTTGTACCTCGATTTTCTTTACTCATTTCCTTATCTCCTGGAAGGGGGAATTTTGGTATCCGATTTCTTCTTATAGTACCCAAAGCTTGAACACCGCGTTGAGATAGCTGTGCCAGAAGTGGTAAGGTGGTATAATAATTATCAAAGTATACATGATAATTCATATCATTTGGTAGATTACCTAGAAGTCTGGTTACGATGATAGCGCGTGGCCCTAAATAACGCTCATTTAGCAGTATTGTGTTTTCTTGTCCACTGTAAACTTCAAAATTATAACAATATCCTGAAACTCCGGCCAACACATAAACCTTGAATCCCCATTTATGCGGTTTTGCTGGCATGTATTGCTTGAGATAACTTTTTGTTTTTGTTGGGCACATCTGTTCATCAATTGATAGGCATGCTTCATAAGGAACAGACTGGTAACGATCAAGAAGGTGATCAACCAGTGGCCGAATTTTGTGAAGTCGATCACGCAGTTCATGTTCCTTAGGTAACATTTTAGAGTTATCCTTGGAATGCAGGTGTTTTTTTATTTTCTCGAATTGCTTTTGCGACATCGTATTTTTGATAATATCTGTACCAATGGTAGAAGACCAATAGCTTCGTATATTGAGCATATGTATAACTGACATGAGAACGCATATTCCAATGTATCTTTTTATATCAGTTTCTTGTAGAGATACAGGATTGCCTGTATCTAATTGTACCGAGAATAAATTTGACTGCTCCATGATAAGCTTGATAAGATCTTGATCAAAAAAGTAGGTGAAGAACTGGTAAGGAGTTTCCAAGTTGCAAAACACATCTGGCAGTTTTTCACTACCTTTGAATTTAACAGATTCTTCGGGCATAATCAAGTTGCCCTCTCTCCACTTCAGCTTACACAAAGCGTAGCATATATGCTACGCTACGCATTTAATTAATAGAGTTTCTTTAAGCTCCTCATTGCAGCCGCAGTGGCCTGGTATGCAGACCTCTGCCTCTGCGACAGCTTCGATGCCTGAACTATAAAAGCCAACACTGATGTCGGGTTCATGCACGACTTAAACTAACCGAACTTAAGGATCAGCTGTTTCTACACCAGTGTCCTCCACATGTTACGCCTCCAGATAGTAACTAGCTAGTGACTTCCAGTGGTGGTCAAACGTTTTGGTGACGTCACACCCATTTTTTGACATGATTCGGGTGGTTTCGGAACTCGTCTTATCCTTGGATACCCCTTTCCATACTGTTCTATGCTCGTATTGACGTAATTATAATAATTCTGTGGTGTCTCGTGTTCCACGACGATTTACCCAGAACGCGAGGCAGTGACTCATCTGTTGTTTTTGTTTGAGTTGTTGACGAATTTGCGGTAGAGATTTGTTTTGGTGTTCGTCTTCGAGTGTGTTTTTCTGCCTTTGACTTGTTTTTTGTGCGATTAATTGAGGATGGCCATGCCTAGAGCAAAAATAACGAAAAGCCGCGGTGGTATCAACTCCTGACCTTGTTGAAGAGGTACCTGCAGAAGTCACCTGAACGCAATCGGACATCGCCAGAGGAGCGCCTAATGATGACGTTGCAGTAAGTATCCAAATCAGTTCATTTTTGCATAAATGACAAAATATATTGAGGTTATGGACGTTTTCTTAATTTCAAGGTCACTTCTTAAAATAAAGTTCAATATATTGAACTTTTCCTTAAGAACCAACCAATCGGATCACTAGCGTTGGTCAGCTGATCGCTACAGCTGGAATTAGAAGATGGCTACGAGCCATCGATACTGTACAAAAGTCGATAGTCGATATTTATATCGTGATGTTTGATCGATTTTATATCGCTGTATGGGCAGATGGTTCGGTGATACTTGTATGAAAAATTATTTGCGCTTGCTTACGCATGACAGTTTAGAGCTGAACATCGGGGCGGATTGATAAAAAAAATCATGTATGTTAAAAATTATAATAATTAAAGTCAGTGGTCATGTTTACTTCATAAATTAGATCAAAAAACAGCATGAAAAAAATAAACATGGGTCCTAAATTGCCCCTTGCCAAGATAGAGGATTTTGAAATTATATTCTAGAGAACGAAAAAAAAATATTGAAATGATCTTAAAATTTTGTGCTTGTAGTACTGACTTCATAGCTGATAGATGCAAACACTTTCATGTCTGAGACTGTACCAGTGGTGATGTTGGCAAATTATAGCCCCTACAGAAGAAAAAAGAGAATTTAAATCTATACCATGCCCCCCATGACATGTTTTTCCAAAACCTCACAGAACACTGTGAAGGTACTTTGTCATTAACTACAAACCAGGTGTACACCTGACGAATGCTGTGTATTCGCAGCCCACCAAATATGTAATCTCTTTTGACGTTTATTGAGGTAAAGAGATTGAGTAGCACGTAACTTTTTTGTGACATCTGTACTGTTGGTAATAACAAACCTGGTAAAGGGCCAAATTAAGGACTGGCGTTTGGTATCACCAATGAAATTTTTTTTTTAAACACAGAATTTTGGCAATCAAATGTATACTGCTAGATTGGGAATTTATACATATGTACAGAGCAGTATCATCTGAAGGGGCGTGGTGAGATGACTATGTTTCTGTTTAGTGTTTGCTGACCAAATATGACAGTGATATTATGCTAATAACTTTTTTTTGTTTCACAGTGTCAAAATCCTTCGAGGAGACAGTTGGAATGAAGATCGTCATTTATTTTATGGATACCAAATTAATTGTCAATGAGAGTTTGTTTCCTAGTTTGAAGAAACAATTACTGTTTTATGTGTTTTTTTTTTATTGAGGACAATTTTGTTTGCCTTTACCCATTAAACAGTGTGCGCAAAACTATTTTTGATTCACATATCAGACTGATTATATTTGTATTCCAGTCAGTCCTCTACCTACAGATGTATTTTTTGTTATTTTAGTATTTATGTTTTTGCAATAAATATACCTGATCAATTAACAAGAGATAGTGCTTGCATGATATTGCACTGATCAGGTTCATAATATAGAGAAAAATCCAGATGAGTAGAATACCTCTATGTATGTACAATTTATTGTAATGAAGAATTTGTTCTATTATTGCTGTGACTGTTCAGTAAATATTTTTTTAATTATACATTTTTTATTATCCTGAAATTCATTACTAGTCAAACTGATGAAAGAAATACTCCCTTTATTGAGGATGTGTTATGCATCTATGATCATCGAACTGCCTCAATATCGGTCGTCAGTCAGATTTCGTAATGTAAACAAATGAAATCGCCGACACATTCCTGACATTCCTGATATGCGTTGTCGGCATACTTTCAATATTTATAGTTCCACCAGATTTCCAGCCAAGAAAAGTGGCGCTGCCGTCGAGGTTATAGTCCAAGAAATATCTTCACATCTGCTCAGGAAAATATTCGGATTCCGGCTTTTTGCATGTTATTCGAAAAATCCTCCTAGTAACAAATCTACATGTTGTCAAGCTCCAAATTGTCTCTAATTGTTTGAACAACTTTTTCAAATAAATTACAAAAATTAATGTTTTCGCTTCATCAAAGGTAGCATTCGTTTTTTTGATACTCCGAAACAAAATGATGTTTGACAATGTTTGTCAAAAATTGATTTTGTACGAGATGGGAAAGTACAAAAAATTGATTTTGCGATACCGAAAAACGATCTGAAAAAACGAAAATGTTAATGTCGCCATGCTTCATAAATAACCATTAACGATACCTTTTAGGAGATACTGTTATTATAAATCTTTGTATTTAATTTATATGCAAGCGGACGCTCAATGCATATTCAGCATGCACGAGAGATATTTCATCTCTCTCGCGTTCACATAGACATAGACTATACATTGAGCGCGCATTCAAATGCTCTGGGGGTTTTGTTATTGGTTGGTTGAAGCATGTGTGAGATTTGGCAACATCAAAATATTCATTTTTCATATTGTTTTTAGGGTAGCAAATGACATATTTTGAGTTTTTACATTGCTTATACCTGTATATATCAAGTCTAGAGAAAAGTTCTAAAGCTCATTTTTTATTTAGAATGTCCTAAAAACCGCAAAATACTTTAAACAAAGCGAACAAATCAATTTTTGGAATCGGTTTAATAACAATTTTTGGAGCAATTTTGGGCCTAGTCACATGCAGATTCTTTAAGAGGTCCTTGAATCAGATTATCCAAAAATAGGAATCGGAAGAGTTTTCCGAGCAGATGTTCCAATATTATCTGGACTATTATCCGAGTTCTGTGACGTGCATTGGCGCAAGCGTGTGGGGAGGGGCCACTTGTCAACGTCAAGGCTGGTCCGCCAGTCCACGTGACACATAAGCCACAAAACACTCTTTCATCTGCTACTTTGACGTTAAACATATGATTATTTAAGGGTATTTAACTTTCATGTTGCCTCAACTGCTACGTTGGCAATCCTGGCCGCGCATGCGCATGAAATGCTCATTTTCTTAAGTTAAGTTAGGTTAAATCCAGTGTTGCCAGACGAATTCTGCTAAAAATCCCTAACATTCTATTTTTTTCCCCTAGAATTCCCTAGATTTTTATTTTCTAAGCCTACCCTCTTTTCTCTGTCTACTCGCCACCCCCAATTTTTCTGTATTACATATTGAATTCATAATATGGTTTAAAAAAATATATTAAAAATTACATTTAAAAATAAAACTTTATTAGATTAAAAAACGGAATTTTCTTAATTATCTAACTTGAAATAATACATTACTTGCCACTAATCTTTTGAGTACACATTTTTTTGGCTCATTAGTTTAAGATGCTCACTAGTTACTTTAAATGACTGGCAGCAATTATCAGACGAAAATCTTGTAAAACATTTAATGATTCACTTCCTATTTTGTTTCTTTTTTTGTTTTCGTAGAGGGTTGATCCCTACGATTTTAAAAACATATCAGCTATTGATTACTTATAATATATTATGCAACTTACATTTGATCAGAATTTTCTGTTGTATCGGACTCCATCATCACAAAACTAAACTTAAAAACTTTGAACAAAGATTCTTTTCTAATTGGACCGTCCTAATATTCACATTAAACGCACTCAAAAACGTCGCGTCACACTTTAATATTGTACTGGGTATGCGTAATACAGTCGTCGGTGGCGGCAGGTGGCGGAGAACTTATCGGTGATTCACACAGAAGATGTACAGTGCAACCAACCTTGTAATTAGCAAAGCTGTATACTGTTTTATTTAATAATTATGTTAACAGGGTCCGTTTATGTTTTTTCAATATAGATTGGAATTTAGTTATTCATTAATCTTTTTTTTGAAACGGTAGAAAATCCCTAGAATTTCCCTATTTCTCTAAAAGTCCCTAGAACTAGAAAACATCGTAAATTCTCCCTAGAACTAGGGAGAATTCCCTAGAAATGGCACTACTGGTTAAATCGTGCATGAACCCACCTTGAAATTTCACACGTGAAATCTGTGATTGAATAATCAACTACAATATATTTAAAATGGTTCCCTTGAGATGTCGCCAGTATGTCGTAGCTTCCTGTCTAAGGGATTAGAAAATTTTAACGATTTATGGTTTGTTCGTACAGTAGTCGGTAACTTGTCTGTGACTGTCAAAATCGGAATCAGAGTGATGTTACCTGTTCGTACAGTTTATGACTGTTTGCCGACAGCTAGTCCGGTGTTCGTTTAGCACCTTCTGACAATTCAGAGAACCCCAGTCAATAAGTGACAGGTATCAGAGTGTGTCGAAGCTATCTTGAGGACTAATATTGATTCGCAAAAGACGATTACTATGAGCGATATATCAAGCAAAAACCTGGGCTTTGTGGAGGAAACACTGCCACAATCCAACAGTAACGAGTTTTTGGAACATCTGCGGGTGAGCAGGGAAGTAGCCATTTCAATTATCAAGTAGGGCCATATGGGAAGCAAACCCCGTATAAACAAACGCGTATATTTTTATGGTTTGTTGGACATCAAACAGCCAGCTTCAGGGATGTGGCTGATAGGTTCAATGTTCCTGTGAGTTCTCTGCATGATGTTATAGCCAGATTGACCAACTTTCTGAGTAGTCTGGCACCAGAAATTATAAAATGGCATAAAGAACAAGGAAGAAATAGGACAAAGCAATATTTCTTGAATAAAAATGGATTTCCTGGAATCGTTGGTACTATTGATGGAACCCATATAAAGATTGATGGCGCTCAAAAAAGGAACTGCATTGTTACGCTATTATGTTAATTATTTATATACTCGACCATAAGTTGCCCCCCTAGGACTGTATGTCTAATACAAAAATTCTCTGTGTGTTTAGTATTTTATTTTCTGGAATTGTAATGGCATCTCTAGACTATGAAGACAGTGTGAAAAATCTGAACAATAGAGAACAGAACTTTCAAGAACCGATACGATTTTTTTGGGTTTTCTAAAATTTTGTTTATAGTTACAAAATGCGAAATTACTCGATTCAAGTCTCACTTTATTCCTACTTGACATGATGATTTCCCCCGTAAGAGTTTATGTATTTTCATAGTCTTAGTTCATTTCGTCCATGGTGAGAACTCTTTGAAAACTTTCAGCTATGTAAGCAGATTTTGCTAATTGTAGGTATGTTCACTCACGTTAGCTTTTTAGAGTATGTATGATCACTCTTTGTTATTAAATACATTATTAAATCTTTTGAGTATTTTTACTACTTTCTTCCAATGAGAATATGCATCAGTAGTAAAAACCATCATTGTTGTGCAAGCGGACCCGACTACCCGACTACAATTTAAGAAAATATATTTGCCGCTTGGGAAGCTTGCCAAAAAGTCAGTGGTGAACTATCACGACATACTTACGAGTATAGCGTCTATTTACATATTTTTCTGCTTCTGTATGATACCGACACTCCTCTAGCATGTTTATTGTTATTATATGACACAGGTCTAAATATAAATAACGTAAAAAGCACTAGTAGTTTTATGTAATTCAATTATTCCAAAATGAATCGCATTCTTTCGATACGAGCCTAGCAACAAATTCACATGAATCGACGCGAGACCACTAGCCCCCACCTTCTTTTCGCGTCTCGCTTTTCTAGAAGCTAGCAGGTGTGTCCAGATGAGCTGCCAGAAAAGCCTCCTTCTAGCTTTTATGGCTTATTCTTAACGACCATCGATAAAAATGTAAACATACGCGATAAGTTTGTCGTCAACTATACCTAAATATCCTATTTCGCGTGCCTCTACATAAAATATAAACTGCAAAAGGTTGTAGATATTAAAAAGAAAACGTAATTAATATATACTCGTAATATATATATACAGGATGTCCAATAAGTACCACGACCAACTTAAGAAGAAGGTAGGCTTTGGACTGATCTCCTAAATAACAAAAACTTACCTATATAAAAGTGTCACCGTTTTTGAGGTATTGAAGTTTTTCTTAAATTTTTGAAAAAACGACACTTTTCATCTGTAGTCTTTAGCTGCATGTACAAATAAGGTTATACTTTGTTCATTTTTTCTATAAAATACTTGTAGATAGTTGCTTTATCATATACAAATGCAATGTAGTTAAAAGATATTAAGGAAACATGGTCAAATAAGGACTATTTTGAGATTTATAACTTTCTGATATTTTTTCTTCAGCGTTGACCATCTGTGGTGAAACAAAAATGTACTGGGCTATAACTGCATTATATTGAATAAAAAGATTGCTGATTGAATGCAGATTTCAGAAAGGCACCACACCTACTATTTGGAATAGGAAAAAGTGATAGCTGATTTTGTAAGTGACTGACACACACTACAAGGTAATTATTGGATTTAAATTCAAGTTGCATCAGTGACATGCTAAATAGTATAAAGCTACATTATTATTACTTGCTCCTGATATGATTTTATGACAGTTGAGGAAACAATACCAGAAGGTTATAAATCCCAAAACAGTCCTTATTTTATCATGGTTCCTTAATATCTTGTAACTATATTAATAATAAGTTTATTCACCTAATTTATTAACTTACATTTTTACATAAATATACACATATATGTATATATATACGTATATATTCATATAAATAAACACATAAATAGATGCTCATAAACATATATACATACACACATACATATGTACATATACACATATGCAAACACACATACACACCTGTACATACATACATACGAGTACATACATACACACATATACGAGTATATGAACGTTGGAGGGTTTTTACTATTACATTAATTTTAAATTTCTTACATATGTATCATGTTTGAAATTTGATGTAACCATTTTTTCAATTATAAATTTTTTGGTTTCAATTTTGATTTTGTTTTTTTTGAAATGTTTCTTGTATAATTTGGTAGTATGTTATATAATCTACTGGAAAGGTAAGTATGACATATTTGGCCTATACTTTTTGAGGTGAAAGGTGTTTGCTTAATGTTGTTAATTTTGTTTCTAGTTTGATATAAGTGATCTAATGGGATAAGATTATTTCTATGGTGAAATTGATAATTTACGATTTTATAAAAAAATTGTTGCCTAGGGTCTAATAGTTTTGCTTCAGAATATAACAGATCAGGTGGGTATAAGAGTGGTTTGCCAAAGATTATTCTTTAAAATTGTTTTTGCTCATACAGGGGCGTCAAAGACGCGAATTGTACTTTTTCTCAAAAATTTCAAATCCATCACCCTGTACATTTTTGCGCTAGTTTGGTTTCAATTTTTTATAAGCTTTTTTTAGTATGTGGTTTGATTCAGATTAAATCACTAGATTTTGAGTTATTAAGCTTTTAATATAACAACACAATTAAGGGAAAAAATCACATCATCCATGCAAACAAATGACAAACAGTTGGCTAGCTCCATATTGCCTCTAAGAGTACAGATTTAACGTAAAAACCAATAACAATCAGAACAGTGTACATCAAATTCACGCGTAATAGAGAAAAACAACTATAACAACAACATAAACAAACAACTATCACTACTCAAGACCTAATCTACAAAAACTGCTCGAAAATATCTCCACCATGGCCATAGTCTTTGGATATATGACCGTTGCATATCCTTCAGCATGTGTTACCTTATGTTCAGAAAAGCATCCTTACTCCTTTCCTTCATGTTTTCCGGGGTAGATGGTGGACATCTACAAACATCTTGCTTAACGTAGCCCCATAGAAAGAAGTCCATCGGCGTCATAACTGGTGATCTAGGAGGCCAAGATATAGGCCCATCACGACCGTTAAAACGATTGATACTCCAGGTATCCAAATAGTTACGCACACGATTATGACAATGCGCAGGTGCGTCGTTATGTTGGAAGTACATATGCATCCAAGTTTGCATGGTTGACATCCTCCAAAAGCAAAGGCAAATGCTCGATCAAAAAATTCAAGTATTCTGTATCTGTCAATCTGTTGTCGAAAAAGAAAGGCCCGATAACTTTTCTGCCAATCACTCCTCCCCAAAAATTCAAGCTATATTTATTTTGGAAATCTATTTGCCTAACCCAGTAAAGATTTTTCGTCGCATAATAGTGCATGTTATGCCTATTGACAACACCTACGCTGTTACAAGTTGCCTCATCGCTAAAAAGAACCTTGTCCAGGAAAGTAGTGTCTTCACTCACTTTATTTAGCATTATTCTACTAAACTCCATTCGAGCTGCGGAATCCTGAGGATGAAGGCCTTGATGCAAGCATAGGTGATATGGATGGTACATATGCTTGTGAATAATCTTTTGGACAGGAGTTCTGCATATATAAGTTTCTGCTCCAATTTGCCGTCCACTTAAATGGGGATTTTCCTGCAACTTTAATAGAATCTCCAACTGATTCACCTCTTGGATTATTTATATATTATTTACTTTATTCCACTGCTCCACTTGATCCAAAACGTTCTCGTAATGTGGAAAATGTGTCCGGCCTTGGATGTAGCATATTAGGGTACCGTTGCTTATAAATTCGAGATGCTAGGAAACTATTTCATTGGGCTTCGCCCAAAACGAACAACATATTCACCACTACTTTTTTAGAAAAATTAATTTTTAAACACGTTTTTATTATAATGAGGATGGTGCGCTATTTCAGGGAATTAAGCCGTTCCATATAAGACGTCCTAATAACCGACAAAATAGCCGTAAAAACCCTTGTGTCTAGTATCAAAAAAAAGCTTATAAAAAATCGAATCTAAATTTGCACAAATATGCAGGGTGGTGCATTTGAATTTTTTTAGAAAACACACAATTTGCGTTTTTGACCACCCTGTATGAGCAAAAATTAAAATTAGAAAAAGTAACAAATAAGATTAAGGTTGAGGTATGTAAGTTATTTTATACAAAATTCAGTACTCCAAATTTCAAAATGGCGGCCTGAGGGGTTGCCGAGGTGGGGAGTTTTTCTAGACAAAACACCTTATATCTCAGCAGCTAATTACCAAAACCCCATACT